CGTGACGGATTAAAGGCTAGGCGTGACGGATTAAAGGCTAGACTAGACGTGACGGATTAAAGTCTAGACTAGACGTGACGGATTAAAGGCTAGACTAGACGTGACGGATTAAAGACTAGACTAGACGTGACGGATTAAAGACTAGACTAGACATGACGGATTAAAGACTAGACTAGACATGACGGATTAAAGACTAGACATGACGGATTAAAGGCTAGACTAGACATGACGGATTAAAGACTAGACATGACGGATTAAAGGCTAGACTAGGCATGACGGATTAAAGACTAGACTAGACGTGACGGATTAAAGACTAGACTAGACATGACGGATTAAAGGCTAGACGTGACGGATTAAAGACTACAGGTGACGGATTAAAGACTAGACTAGACGTGACGGATTAGAGACTAGACTAGACAAGACGGATTAAAGGCTAGACGTGACGGATTAAAGACTAGACGTGACGGATTAAAGACTAGACTAGACGTGACGGATTAAAGGCTAGACGTGACGGATTAAAGGCTAGATTAGACGTGACGGATTAAAGGCTAGACTAGACGTGACGGATTAAAGGCTAGACAAGACGTGACGGATTAAAGACTAGACGTGACGGATTAAAGGCTAGACGTGACGGATTAAAAACTAGACGTGACGGATTAAAGGCTAGACTAGACGTGACGGATTAAAGACTAGACTAGACGTGAAGGATTAAAGACTAGACTAGACATGACGGATTAAAGACTAGACTAGACGTGACGGATTAAAGGCTAGACTAGACATGACGGATTAAAGACTAGACTAGACGTGACGGATTAAAGACTAGACTAGACATGACGGATTAAAGACTAGACTAGACATGACGGATTAAAGACTAGACATGACGGATTAAAGGCTAGACTAGACATGACGGATTAAAGACTAGACATGACGGATTAAAGGCTAGACTAGACGTGACGGATTAGAGACTAGACTAGACAAGACGGATTAAAGGCTAGACGTGACGGATTAAAGACTAGACGTGACGGATTAAAGACTAGACTAGACGTGACGGATTAAAGGCTAGACGTGACGGATTAAAGGCTAGACTAGACGTGACGGATTAAAGGCTAGACTAGACGTGACGGATTAAAGGCTAGACAAGACGTGACGGATTAAAGGCTAGACGTGACGGATTAAAAACTAGACGTGACGGATTAAAGGCTAGACTAGACGTGACGGATTAAAGACTAGACATGACGGATTAAAGACTAGACTAGACGTGACGGATTAAAGACTAGACTAGACATGACGGATTAAAGGCTAGACGTGACGGATTAAAGACTACAGGTGACGGATTAAAGACTAGACTAGACGTGACGGATTAGAGACTAGACTAGACATGACGGATTAAAGGCTAGACAAGACGGATTAAAGGCTAGACGTGACGGATTAAAGACTAGACGTGACGGATTAAAGACTAGACTAGACGTGACGGATTAAAGGCTAGACGTGACGGATTAAAGGCTAGACTAGACGTGACGGATTAAAGGCTAGACTAGACGTGACGGATTAAAGGCTAGACAAGACGTGACGGATTAAAGACTAGACGTGACGGATTAAAGGCTAGACGTGACGGATTAAAGGCTAGACTAGACGTGACGGATTAAAGGCTAGATTAGACGTGACGGATTAAAGGCTAGACGTGACGGATTAAAGACTACAGGTGACGGATTAAAGACTAGACTAGACGTGACGGATTAGAGACTAGACTAGACATGACGGATTAAAGGCTAGACAAGACGGATTAAAGGCTAGACGTGACGGATTAAAGACTAGACGTGACGGATTAAAGACTAGACTAGACGTGACGGATTAAAGGCTAGACGTGACGGATTAAAGGCTAGACTAGACGTGACGGATTAAAGGCTAGACTAGACGTGACGGATTAAAGGCTAGACAAGACGTGACGGATTAAAGACTAGACGTGACGGATTAAAGGCTAGACGTGACGGATTAAAGGCTAGACTAGACGTGACGGATTAAAGGCTAGACTAGACGTGACGGATTAAAGGCTAGACGTGACGGATTAAAGGCTAGACTAGACGTGACGGATTAAAGGCTAGACTAGACGTGACGGATTAAAGGCTAGACAAGACGTGACCGATTAAAGACTAGACTAGACGTGACGGATTAAAGGCTAGACGTGACGGATTAAAGGCTAGTTAGACGTGACGGATTAAAGTCTAGACTAGACGTGACGGATTAAAGGCTAGACTAGACGTGACGGATTAAAGGCTAGACGTGACGGATTAAAGACTAGACGTGACGGATTAAAGACTAGACTAGACGTGACGGATTAAACACTAGACTAGACGTGACGGATTAAAGGTTAGAGTTGAAAACGCGCCTCGGTTTAGGTGGCTAAACTTATGTCGAACTGGGAGAGGGCTGTTATTTACTTGTTTTGTCAAAATCAGCAAAGACACACACATCTTCACAGACACACACATCTTCACAGACACACACAGACACACACATCCACAGACACACACACAGACACACAAAGACATACACACAGACACACACCAACAGACACACACACACATCCACACAGAACACACACAGACACACATCCACGACACACATCCACAGACACATCCACAGACACACACATCCACACAGACACACATCCACGACACACAAACACACATCCACCCACACACAAACACACATCCACATACACACACAGACACACTGACAAAATTGCAAACCTTAGTTTTGTCGACTGGACGCCAATAATTTCGATTCTAAATTTTCGCCAGATTTAAAGAAGTCGCTTATCTCCGTTATTGATGAAGTACTGAGGGGTCAAACAGTGACAACTGTTTAAAAAAATTGTGTATGCACGATTACAATATCTATTCTGTTTACACAATATAATCTGTATAAGAGAAAGTAAAAATGCATTAAAAACGTTTTAATTACAAGCTTTTGTGTAATAATGCCCTAAAAAGGAGAATGTAAGGTATTTTCTTTAAGTGTATAATAAAGAACTTGCTAAAAAGATCTTGGGTCGGTATATTTAGGATGTTCAAATAGTCTTCTGAATTCTTTTTTTTTAAAGTTTTACCGTATACACGTCAAAGTGATTGTGATAAAGACAGTCGTGTATTCAAAGTGTCATGATCAGTGTTTCTTCCAGACTTTTTTCTCCGGGGGGGGGGGGGCACTTTAAATTTTCGGGGGGTGGGGGGCGGTAGACTTTCTTCGGGGGGGACGACACTGTTAAAAGTTTATATTTTCTATATAACTTATATAACTTATAAAAATTTCATTTCGTTCGGGGGGGGGGGGGGGGCGAAGAGATGCCTGGAAGAAACTCTGGTCACGGTAACAGCCGAACTGATCTCATTCCAATGGTCTGATCCCAATGGTCTGATCCCAATGGTCTGACCCCAATGGTCTGATCCCAATGGTCTGATCCCAATGGTCTGTGATCCCAATGGTCTGATCCCAATGGTCTGATCCCAATGGTCTGATCCCAATGGTCTGATCCCAATGGTCTGATCCCAATGGTCTGATCCCAATGGTCTGATCCCAATGGTCTATTGTCCCTAATCTCGATATCAGTAAACACCAAAAATAGTAGCCAAGAAATGTGTTTTTTTCAAGGGATAGGGTTAGGGATAGGGATAGGGATAGGGTTAGGGATAGGGATAGGGATAGGGTTAGGGATAGGGATAGGGTTAGGGTTAGGGTTAGGGTTAGGGTTAGGGATAGGGTTAGGGTTAGGGATAGGGTTAGGGATAGGGATAGGGTTAGGGATAGGGATAGGGATAGGGATAGGGATAGGGATAGGGTTAGGGTTAGGGATAGGGATAGGGTTAGGGTTAGGGATAGGGATAGGGTTATGGATAGGGTTAAGGATAGGGTTGGGGATAGGGATAGGGATAGGGCTGGGGATGGGGATGGGGATAGGGCTAGGGCTAGGGTTAGGGATAGGGATAGGGTTAGGGATAGGGATGGGGATGCGGATGGGGATAGGGTTAGGGATAGGGATAGGGATAGGGTTAGGGTTAGGGATAGGGATAGGGTTATGGATAGGGTTAGGGATGGGAATGGGGATAGGGATGGGGTTATGGTTAGGGATAGGGATAGGGTTAGGTTTAGGGTTAGGGATAGGATTACAGTTAGAGATAGGGATATGGATAGGGTTAGGGTTAGGTTTAAGGCGTCTGACTTTAGATCAGAAGGTTGCGAGTTCGAGTCTCGTCGGGGTCGAATTTTTTTTTCGACTTAAAATTTGCGATCTTTTGCTCACACATCGTAAGACACCACACACATATAACGTACGGCCCATTCATCGTAACATACATGTCCCCCACAGACGGCCCACACATTCATCACCCACACAACTAAACACGACGTTAGTAAGACCTACAGCATCAAGGGTAGACGATCGACATAAAGTGTTGAGTCAGCTATTTCACGTGATTGTTATACCATCCACTCAGTATTTCATTAGCTTAATCATTACCTGCCCGCCAAACATTTTAGCTGTAATTAATTACTGGTCCCATAATGATTGGATAAAACTAATGTTTTGACAAATCTTTTAACAAATGGCATCTATACTTACAATATTGTATTTAAGCCATGACCTAACCCCTTGTATTTAAGCCATGACCTAACCCTTGTATTTAAGCTATGACCTAACCCTTGTGTTTAAGCCATGACCTAACCCTTGTATTTAAGCCATGACCTAACCCCTTGTATTTAAGCCATGACCTAACCCCAGTATTTAAGCCATGACCTAACCCTTGTATTTAAGCCATGACCTAACCCTTGTATTTAAGCCATGACCTAACCCCAGTATTTAAGCTATGACCTAACCCCAGTATTTAAGTCATGACCTAACTTTTGTATTTAAGCCATGACCTAACTTTTGTATTTAAGCCATGACCTAACTTTTGTATTTAAGCCATGACCTAACCCCGGCTGTTGTTTGCCTCTCCTCAGAGCCCTCCAAAAGAGCGAGGACCGCATACACCAGCGCCCAACTGGTGGAGCTGGAGAAAGAATTCCATTTCAACCGCTACCTGTGCCGGCCCCGGAGGATCGAGATGGCGGCACTGCTCAACCTGACGGAGCGGCAAATCAAGATCTGGTTCCAGAACCGCCGGATGAAGTTCAAGAAGGAGCAGCGCGGCAAGGGCTCGGCGGACAAACACGCCAAGTCGGAGAGCAGCTTCTCCGGGAGCGACACGGAGAACTCGTGTCACGGCGGGGACCGGAGTCCCGGCCTCAGCGACTGCGTCAGCAAGCCGGCGGGGAAGGCTGAGGGCGATCTGAGCAGGCTGCACCTCTCGCCCAACCCCCAGGGGGACGCGGGTCACTTCCTGTCCACCCGTCTCCCCCGGGCTGGCTCGCCGTCCCTCAATGATATGGAGAGCTCTTGTAGTTTACAAAACACGACCCGGCCACTCGGCGTCATGCGTCATGAGCCGACGGGCGTCATGCGTCATGAGCCGACGGGCGTCATGCGTCATGAGCCGACGGGCGTCATGTGTCATGAGCCGACCGGGGTCAAGGCCGAGAGTCCGAACTCTGGTCTCATTTCCCCCGGCCAGACGGTGGTCAAGCAACATCTGACGTCATCAGGGCAGACGGGCCGCAGTCACGAGCGCTCATCTCCTCCCAGCTTGAGTCCTTACCCACACAACCAGCAGCGCCACCACCCCCCTCAACATCAGGGTAACCATGGCAACGGGTACGGGCCGCCCTCATCCAGACATTACCCCGGGTCCAATATGCTTGTCACTGGGAGCATGTATTCAGACATTAATCCATTGGACAACCACACGCATGCGCACAATCCTATGACGTCACATCCGGCAATGAACAACCAGATGAATTGTTCAGCGACTTCCATGGGATACAATCCCGGCTCCTACGACTACATACCCAAACTTACACACTTGTAGACCAGCTACACACCAGCTACACGCTAGCTACACTAGCTACACGCTAGCTAACTAGCTAGCCATCTAAATGAACCATAACAAGGAACATGCGAACGTGGTTTAATCAAACACGTTGCTGTGCTGGTCACGTGATAGTCACCTGTAGCTGACCCCATTGGACGTTCACATCAGTACACGCACTTACCACACCGGGGGGGGGGGGATCTACCCCCCCCCTCCAATCTCAAAGGTCGTGCATCGGCTCCCCCCCCCTTCAACGAAATTTAAGTTCGCCCTTCACCCCCCCTCCCGAAAATTTCATGTGCCCCCCCCCCCTGTAAAATGGCTGAAAGAAACACTGAATGCCCCCCTGATGTCAGTATTATTGTGTGATAGTTCAACATTAGATCGCCATCACTGTGTAGCGAATGCTTGTTTTATTTGCCCTACTTTCATGTCAGCAGCACATTTGTCATGTCAACAGCACATTTGTCATGTCAGCAGCACATTTGTCATGTCAACAGCACATTTGTCACGTCAACAGCACATTTGTCATGTCAACAGCACATTTGTCACGTCAACAGCACATTTGTCATGTCAACAGCACATTTGTCACGTCAGCAGCACATTTGTCATGTCAACAGCACATTTGTCATGTCAGCAGCACATTTGTCATGTCAACAGCACATTTGTCATGTCAGCAGCACATTTGTCATGTCAACAGCACATTTGTCATGTCAACAGCACATTTGTCATGTCAGCAGCACATTTGTCATGTCAACAGCACATTTGTCATGTCAGCAGCACATTTGTCATGTCAACAGCACATGACAGCCAGCGTCTTCGGCAGAGGCGGCACTGAGGATAGAAGGGATCCCGGGACTAACAACCCGCGGGGGGGGGGGGGGGTGGGGGGGCTAGAGCTCAGGGACACGTATGCTGACGTCACCACTGGTCTCTACAGTCTGTGACCGAGCGGCAGTGACGTCAGACAGAATCAGATTCATACACGTCTTGCGTGGACGTCGCTTTCTCTGTTGTCAAGTTAACAAACAACTAGCAACATATCAAAACATTCGCCAAACAACTAGCAACATATCAAACCATTCACCAAACAACTAGCAACATATCAAAACATTCACCAAACAACTAGCAACATATCAAAACATTCACGGCGTGCCCATATGAGGCAACTCAACAACTGTTAGACTTTGAACCAATAGCTGAATCCAATTTTAAGGCTCAATTGTCCAACCATTAGGTGGACGCCCCTCCCCCCCCCCCCGAGTGAAACGCACGGACGGCCGTTCATTGACCCCCTCCCACATGTACCTCCCCTTCCCTCCGCCAAAATCATTTATTTGTTGAATTTTGAGTATAAATGATTTTGTCGTTTATTTTGAGTATAAATGATTTTGTCGTTTATTTTGAGTATAAATGATTTTGTCGTTAATTTTGTAAGTACCATGTAACATATGAAGTTTTGCTCATTAAATTAATTAAATTGTAAACTAATTAAATGTTCCACTCTCGTGATCTGCTTTGGAAGATGTTTCGAGAATTTTCGAGATGTTTCGAGAATTCGCCATTCTGTTTTGAAGAAATGCTTGTGGGATTGCTACTAGCATAATTTAGAGTAAAATATATGATTTTGAAACCCATTGAATTTGTTTTGTAATTGGTGCACTGTGTTGTTAACTCATGTCATATGATAACGTTAAATCATAACATATAATCACACAAACACACCATTCCCCCACTCACACACACACACACAACATTCCCCCACTCACACACACATCATTCCCCCACTCACACACACACCATTCCCCTACACTAACACACATTCCCACATACCTACACACAAACGCACGTTCCCACACACTTACACAGGCTCACACATATTCTCACATATTCCCACACACTGACCCATATTCCCACACACTGACCCATATTCCCACACGCTCTTATCATTTTTCACAACAAGCCATTCACGGGGACACATAGAAACTCACACACTCTCACACACTCACACACACTCTCACACACTCACACACACTCACACACACTGTCACAAACTCTTACACACTCACACACACTCTCACACACTCTCACACACTCACACACTCACACACCCCACTCACACACACTCTCACACACTCTCACACACTCTCACACACTCTCACACTCTCACACACTCACACACACTCACACACACTGTCACAAACTCTTACACACTCACACACACTCTCACACACTCACACACACTCTCACACACTCTCACACCCCACTCACACACTCTCACACACTCTCACACACTCACACACACTCTCACACACTGTCACACACTCTTACACACTCACACACACTCTCACACACTGTCACACACTCTCACACACTGTCACACACTCTCACACACTGTCACACACTCTTACACACTCACACACACTCTCACACACTGTCACACACTCTCACACACTGTCACACACTCTCACACACTGTCACACACTCTCACACACTGTCACACACTCTCACACACTCTCACACACTCTCACACACTCACACACACTCTCACACACTCTCACACACTCACACACACTCTTACACACTCACACACACTGTCACACACTCTCACACACTGTCACACACTCTCACACACTCTCACACACTCTCACACACTCACACACACTCTCACACACTCTCACACACT